CTCCCTCCGTTACGCGGCACTGGGGATTCGAACCGCCGAACTGCCGACCTTTCTGATCGACAAGCTCAGCCTCTTAGCCACCGAGCCACCGCGTTCCCCCAGGGTGCACCTACCCAGCGTTAAGCCGGCTTCCCGAAAGTTTCCCTGGAAATGTTTCTGCATCGTTTCCTCAACCGAGAGTCCGGTTGTCTCCTGATACCAGCTGAACACTGGAAGAAAGGCAAGGAAAAATATATATATATTGGGGGGGGGGGAGAGAGTGCCCCCTTTGTGCCATGTTACTGGCCAGGTTTTCTTCAGCTGTGGAACATGGACTCAATGAGGGTTACAGTGGGCAGCCTCCCTAACCCCAGTCTGGCCTGAAACATTAGCACGTTTGTGGGGGGGGGATGCCAGCGTGGCGGAAGACGGGGGTTGCCCTTGCCTCTCCTCAAATGTTCAGGGCTGCGTTGAGCCAGGATCCGGACCCACTCGCTCTCCTCCGGCCGGCCGGCATCCCCACGGTCGGCGGCCTCGGCCAGGGCCTGGGGGGGGAAGAGCCCAGGTGTTTGGGGGAGGCTGGCAATGGGCACCACCAGGGGAGCCCAGCGTGGAGAGGGGACCCCCGAAAGGGAGGCACCCCGACCTCCCCATCTTACTTTTGAATCTTGCCGAATCAAGACGTAATCGATCGTCCCCGAATGGCGTTCCCGCTGGCCCTGCGGAGAAGGAAAAGGGGGGGGGGGACTTCGCTGCAAAATATATCCATGGTTTTCCCAAATGGCACCAGGCGCTGATTGGGCCCAAGAGTTTGGGCTTAAAAAAGGGAAAGCTGGGGAGAGTGTTGAATGTTAGGAAAGCACCCCAACATCTCTGGGGTTCTTACAAAGAGACCCTGCATTGTGTATTGTATTGCATTGCATTACATTGTTTTTATTCTATTGTATTGTATTATATTGCTAATATTGTATTGTATTTTGTATTGCATTGCATTGCATTTAAAGCTTTATAAATTATATTTATTATATGTTATGTTATATTATGTTATGTTTGTTGTGTTATGTGATATGTGTTATGTGTTATATGTTATATGTTATGGGTTATGGGTTAGGG